GTTGGTTTGAAAGCAGGCATTGAAGGTGCCGTACCACACGGCAAATCATGTTTGGGTATCATCCCTTGGCTCATCTTGACAGTCTCGACTCTGATTTTGGCTTCCTTATTATAGATGCTTCTAACTCCTTCAACGAATTGAATCGAACTGCCATGCTTTATACCGTTCGCCATCTTTGGCCCGAAGGCGTCCCGCTTTACCTTCAACAGTTACAAACATTGGTCCCTTGTTATTTTTACACGACTCCACCGCTGGAATAGCTCACATTATCCTCAGCGCTGTGGGATCGTGCAAGGTGATCCTTTAGCCATGTACTGCTACGGTTTAGCCTTAGTTCCTCTCATTAAACGCTTCATCATGAGTTCCCTCACCTTTGCATCTCTGGTATGCCGATGATGCAAATGCTGCCGGCAAATTTACTGATTTACAATTGCTTCTAGACCGTCTTATTCGGCTCGGGGAAAGCTGAGAAGTGCCAGCTGCTGCGGCTGCAGCAGGGCCAGCAACAGCGAGGACACATTTGGCAATGTAGCGTCGTTCAATGTTACCAATACACAATACATGTATCACGTTCGCGATCTCGCTACCAACCAACAGCAAGCAACAACACAACAACAAGATCAAGGACGCCAACAACCAGTGCGGCCAACACCCTACGGTCCATGGAAAGCTTTGACGACTCTTTGTCATTTGGAAGCTGTTGCACAGTCGTAGTCTGTAACGTAAGGAGAGTAACCCCAGAAAAAGAGATTAAAAGGAATGGTGACGAAGGTACGGAGATTTTCTCGTATCAGATTCATTGACGCTATCCTCGCCGTCGGTCTGGTCTCATCTTGATTTTTATTTCACTAACAGCACTGAAGGAAGAGGTTTCCCGAATTTTCAGCCTACCGGAAGTTCGGCTCTCTGAAGACGAAAAGCGTACGTTGCACCTTTTGGTTACTGCTGCGCAAACAGGCAATAGTTTCAGAACAATTTGGTCGACAATCAAGGACGCATTAGAAACAAGCCACCCCGAAGAGTTGGCCAATTTCCAACAGGCTCGACAGAGTGTTGGTGAACGTTCCCTGGAAATCCAACAAAGCATTTTGCGGCATGCCCTTGGAGGGCATGAGCAACAGCCACCGCTGCACGTAATCAGGCGCAGCGATGAACAGTGTGCCTCGTCGCTGGAAAGTAAAGGAAACTCCAACTCCGCTGGCAGTAAGAAAAAACGCAAAGTCGCTACCCAAGAGGTGGATACCGAAATCCTACAGTTACTCAAGGGTGTCCTGGGGCACTTGTCGCCGGGGGCGCTTGATCAGCTGAAAACTGACATACATGTAGGAGCAGTTCCTTTAGAGGAGAACTCTGAAAACGAAAGCTATGGGAGCGATTCTTCGAAATATACGAACATTCTCACGAATTTCATGAGCTTGATCCATGAAGACTCTGGTTTAACTGCAGGTGACGGACTGGTTGCCAGGAATGCTTTTGTTGCAACTCTCCATCAATGCCCGATTACCTTTTATTTGATGCGAGAAGCTTTGTTGAACGACGACAATGATGACAGTTTGATCGCGGAGAGGGAAGCGATGGAAAGAGATTACGGAGAGGCCAACGATGGAAAAACTGTAGCCACAGGTAGTAAGCTTTCGGACTAGATTGCCATCCAAGGAGGCGGCACTATCTCCTTGTCTTTCATGCGGGATAAAAAGTATATGCGTTAGTGGGAAGACCATTTTTTTCTTTTTTTGTAAGTATCACAGTTGATAATCGTGATCCCTGTCCAGTACAACGAATAGCACAGATTCCTTCCAGCCTCCTGGCCTCTGGTACATATACTGTACATGTACTATATTGTACTGTACCACACAAACGAGCAGAGAGTAAAAAATTCTATTTGACAACCCTGGGGGGTGCCTCAAAGCTACCTGTTATATTTCCTGCATCATCTTGAACCATCCCTTTCGGGGACACCCACACCTAGCTAGCACCGAATTCAACCACCTCCAACTGACTTCGACCACCTGAATTACCACCTTTCGACCGCCTTAGTTACCATCTTTCACCACCTTAGTTACCACCTTTTACCGCCTTATTTAGAACTACCGCCTTTGACCACTATCAGCCACCTTGCAACACCATTGTCTGCTTGGCGAGTCCGGGAAAACCCAAGATGTGACAGCAACGGATGTTTTGAGGCACTCCCAAGTTGTTAATAATGTCGAAGCCAAATCCCTATCCCTAATGGGGGACCGAGGTGAGATAAACCATTATTACCTCACCTCGGTCCCCCGTCCCCCCTACTCTTTTTCCTATAGTAAATCCTAAAAGGATTTATTGAAGGGGGACAGGCATTAATTTGAGATTCCCCCTCAGACTTAGAGGGAATTAAAAAAGCATTAATGCATGGTCACCTTGTCAGTACAGCTGAGATACGAAGCTCTTGCTGACCTACTTAGCCTCGCGGCGATTGAGCGCCTACAACAAGCCTCCGCGGCGATTGAGCGGATCCACTCTAGCTAGGGGTACGGGGCCTCTTTTTTACATACTCCATGTTAACAAGCACCTCACCTCGGTCCCCGGTCCCCCTACTAAAAAACCGTATAGTATTTTTTAAAGACTTAAGGATCGGTGGACAGCCTTTATTTGAAGATTCCCCTTTAATAGTCAACCCAGGTTCTCATCGTCACGCCATACCACTACCCACTTGTAGTGAATCTTGAAGATTCGGTGCCGCGCTTCAACTGAATACCGGTGATGACGCCCAACTTTTCGACCAATCAGAACAGGCAATGCTAGAGAGTTCATCCAAACCCGCCCAACTTTCCTAAGACGTTAAGTAAACCCTACATCACTGTGGACTCGCTAGTGATCGAATTCCATTCAAGAGTCATGAACCAAAACTCGTTCACATCGGTTCAGAGGTGCGTGACAGGGACATTAGCGGCCCGGCGCGCAAAGGCGTTTTTTAGAGATGAGGTTAGCAGCAACCAAACTGTTGAAAGGCCATCGTTCCGAAGCCAAAATGCCGACAATGGTGCTTTTTCGAGGCAAAATGACGGCATAACAGCACTGCTGCCGTTGTTAGAGGCCACCAGGCACCCTGTGGGAGACCCCTTCCGAACCACAGTGAAGGGCGGGCTGGAATTGATACGGTTTGCGTGGCACAGAGGTCGGAATTTGGGCAAATTTCGAGGGTGCTTCGGAACGATGGCATGTGTTGGCATTTTGGCGGTCTCGTTCTCACCACCCACACGGCCTAATGCACCCCTTGTTGTTGTCATAGTATTCCTGTCATCCGGCTTGAATTGTGCCTAGATTTATAGTGAAATGATACCAATTTTATAGTCGTTAGCTACTTGGCAGCTAGATATATTCTGCCTTGCTCCGACACGCTTCTCCCAATCGATTGTCTTGGGAAAACACTCTCGACCAAGAAGAAGGCACTTTACTAAAACAAACATACTCAAAATGATCCTTCCAAATTTCCTTGATGACATATCCATTTTAAAATAGATTGGATGAATCCATCAGGCAGGGAAAGGCCACCAACATCCTTCGCTGTTGGAGCGGCATCAGCAGTTTTCATTCTGGAGGCGTCTTTGTTGTAAGGGCCCCGTTTGGCTTTCGTAAAGGTTGCATTGATGCCTTCAAATGTGCTTTCAATGTCAGGTCTTGATTGGAGCATGATCCTTCTATAAATTGTGTTTGCCCTGGCTTCAGTCGAAGTCATGCAGTTGAGTGGTTTCCGTACTGACTCAATGCATTTGTGCGAGGATTCGAAACCTTCCTCAGAGCACCTTCCAAGCATTCCATGATTCCTGACAAACAGAGTAGCATGGGAGACTAACACGTGCAGTTTGTTGAAGATGGGAGTTTCATCAGGGTCTGTTTTTCCCGTGAAAGAGAGCCAAAGTGTTGCATATTGTCGAGCTGCATCTTCAAACTGGTCGCAATCTTCCGGAGTCCATTTTCGTTGGCTCTTCATTGACACGGAGATTGTGTACAGCAATCCAGTCAGCTGCTGGAATATTCCCATCAGTTTGTTTACGGATCGCTGCAGTTGTGGATTGTCGTCGTAAACCTTGCTCATTCGATTGACAATCATATCACTCCTCTCAAGCACTCGAATTCCATCGCCATTGGACAGCTCAAACCCACTATTTTCAACACGAAAACAGACTCGTCCGTCCACTTCGTACGCCTTTCTAAAGCCATAAGTTGCGCGACCAATGATGCGTGTCTTTGTCTTCTTGGCCACACCTGCCAAGAAATCTTTTCCTTTCTCAACAAACAGTTTGGCTGCATCCCGAGCTTTGGTTAGTGCAAGGAGAATAGACGCAATCTTATTGCGTTCAGCTTGTAGCTCGTTTGTCATTTCTGTGACTCCATTCGGAGCCATGCTTGCTGCGGCACTCATGTCGCGTACGAAAGCTGTGTCTCTCTTTCGAAGCTTCTCTGTTTTTGATGTCGATGTCGCAATGAACTCTTTTGCTTCCTCCAGCATTTCCCGTAGATCCTGCAGCCACGGCGTTGCCATATCGATTTGTCCCAATTGCTCAAGCATCTTAACCGTGCAGTGGGTTAAGAGGCCGCTGGAAACATGCATTCCGGAACATGTATTCAAATCCGGAGGGGTATAGAGCAAGGGCTCGTAGACGACAGAACAGTATTTCGTCTTCATAGTCTTGGCTTGCCCCGTTGAGTTCAACCTCATCCATTCTGCTCGTCCACCAGCCTCGGCAATAAATTCACTGTAAAGCTTGGGATCGGCATACTCTCCATCTCTGTAAGCAGGAGCGTTCCTCAATCGTGCATGACTTTAAATCCGACCCTAATTTAGGGTCAGTTTGGGGGAATCCGTCCTTAAATATAGGGACGGTTTCGAAACCCGACCCTAAATCGAAACCCGTCCCTAAATTAGGGACGTTTTTTCAGAAAACGTCCCTATTTTTCAGAAAACGTCCCTATTTTTAGGGTCGGTTTCGAAACCCGACCCTAATATTGGTGCGTTTTCAATGTATTTACCAGGCAGTCCCGTTTCTATTTAGGGACGTTTTTCAAACCGAATCCTAAAACGAAACCCGACCCTAAATTAGGGACGGTTTTTCAGAAACCGTCCCTATTTTTCAGAAAACGTCCCTATTTTTAGGGTCGGTTTCGAAACCCGACCCTAAAGGGAATCCGACCCTAAATCCGACCCTATTTTAGGGTCGGTTCAATGCACGATTGAGGAACGCTCCAGGAAGCTCCTCACGAGGCTTGGTGAGACAAGAGGCAAACTCTTTCTTACGTGCAATACAGATAGTGCATGGACACATCACAGAGGCAGTGCCTTGGCCCATCAGCGTCGAATTGCATTTGATGTCATCTGCTGTAAAGCAACGGACCTGCAAGCAACGGATCTTCACAGTGTTGCTAGCCGGACCTGCTGCGAGAGAATCGGTGAACGGCTGGGCATGAATTACCCGTCCGACACAGTTCCGCAAAACGAAGCCTGTGTAGACAACAGTAGTTTTGTCATCCTCATCATTCGTGGTAGCTTCCTCATCGTTCGTGGTAGCTTCGGCAACCATTTGCAGGGTGAGGTGAGTGCTGACATCCTGATTTACTCCAAGGGATTCTTCCTCTGTTGAATTGAGGAGTTGAAATGCCGAAGGCAAGGTCGAGTCAATGATATCAATCTCACCATCAACAGAGCCAGTCTCGTCTTCGTCGTACCGGACCAATGAAATCCGACGTGAAGTGCTGCTTCGAACAATGAAACGAACCATAGCACACTGGGCGTCTTCAACAGCTCCAGCATCATCATGGATTGTGACAACAATCATATAATACTCTTTGTCTAATAGCCGCTGCAGGAATTCACGTGTTGGCTTGTGCTTGTTGAATATTGTCTGTTCCAAATTGTGGTAGCCTTCTTTGCCGTACTCATAGAAAGAAAGAGGGAGGCAGTGTTGCGAGCTATTGCCTGATGATCGGTTGGCAATTCGTACAAGATTACATGTGATGTCTCCTCCCCGATCCGATCCTTGAATAACAATGATCTCTTCATTGTGGTTGGAGAAAGAAATAGACTCCTCAAACCTGCCCGCAACAAGTGCACTCTGAGTAAGTCGCTGCAGGGCAACAGCAGGTTGCTTTATCCAAACATGCAAGCAACGCTGATTTCTAGTACTCCCACCAATCTCAAGCGATACTAGCTCAAAGCCAAGCTCAAGATGGAACATATCCATTGAATACTTGGTGATATTCTTCCTCAAAGACTGTGGCATCAAGGTTGAGCCGATTGTTGGTAATGCCCACCTCACGAATCTTTGTAACCGTTCCAACCCTCGGGCAGTGACAGGCAAGTAGAGCATCATTGCTGCGCATTGTGATATGGTCAGTGTGCAGTCGTCCTTCTTCAGAACGTGAAGGTTTCGTCTTGATCCAATGCTTTGAACCAAAGTCACTGTTTCATCCTTTGTGAGACCAAGGTTGTTAATCAGGACCTCAACAAGATGCCCTTTGCCACGACGCTTTCTTCCTTTCTTATCACCAGCGCCTTGTCTTGTTTCTTTAATTCGCATGATTTTGAGAGGGGTGCCGTTTTTGTACGGACGAAGAGTGATGAGTTCAGCAGATGCTGTCAAGGAAGCTTTGCTCGGTTGGTTCAGGTTGTCATTGTTGTCGTTGTTAACATCGCACTGAGAAAGAGATTGTCGTTTCTTTCTAAAAAGAATGTAAAGAGACCGGCAGATTTCCTCCTCACTGTCTTTGCTAATGTCGTTTGATTGGATATCGGCTTCGAGGCGACCATGCGAAAAGTCAGTTTGTGTGCTTCCATCTGTTGAATTGACCTGGCAATCGGTCTGAATGGATGCGTCCACTTGAAGGCGACTATAAAAGTCAGTTTGCGTGCTTACACCTGTCGAATTGACCTGGCAATCGGTCTGAATAGATGCGTCCACTTGAAGAAGGCAACTATTTCCAGTCTGAATAGATGCATCCACCTTGCCAACTCGATTGAAATCAAGACGTGTCCCGTTGTGGTGTTGCCTTCCGTTTCGTTGCACTGGGCTAATGGGAGAGCGAACAGTGTCGTCTGCCTCCGCCGTGCCAGTACTGACAGGAGAGCAGGTGCTTCCGGCCGGGGATAGCAGAACGCTAGCAGGTGATGCTAAGGTTTCTTCGGCTGTGAAAACCGAGGGCGTTGCTCGAAGATCTCGTCGCTTTGGGCCTCGATTGACAAACTCCGGCGAAAATACATTGTTGGATTGATTGTCGGATTGCTTTGAACCAGGCCGAGCAGGTCGCTTTCTGTTGTCTTCTTCTTCGGAGTCATCGTCAATAGAACTGTTGCTTCCAATGATCCAAGGCAGGAAATTACAGTCCAATGCCGATGTGAAAGCTCTACGGATTGCTGGCTTGGATACTCCCCAAGCAACTGTCAAGAGCTCGGTTGGAGCATTTCCATCTCCCCATCCGTTTCCAGACAGAGCCAAAAATATCACGAGCAAAAGCTTCTTTTCGTCCTCTTGGATCTTGGGTTGTTCATGTGCCACCAACTCTTTGCGGAGCCATCCAGGCGATAGCTCCTCATTGCCCAAAACAATGTAGTCAAAAAAAGGCGTCCCACTATTCTTCCTTGGTCGGCATCCAAGAGTTTGTCGCAAGGACAACAGAAATGCTTCTCGAGAGAAATCTTGACCACTTCCTTCGCTCGCATTGTCGTCATTGCTGCTCGTCTCTGTTGTCTCTGTCTCTGTCGTCTCTGTCGGTGTGACTGGCCGCTTTTCGAAAAGATTTCGCAATTCGATGCTACTCTTCGTCCTTCGGGTGCTGTGTCGGGGCTCCATCGTACAACATCTCTGGGTGTGGCACACTGCCTGCCATTGAAGCAAGTCATGGCTCTGATGATCGGCACCCTTGCGTGGGGCTTTGAATGGCACCGAAAGAATTTTCCTGGGGTTTTGATGATCAATCCATTCGATATTCCGACTGCCGTTTGGGTCAGGCGCTGCCTGTGCCGGCTGCTGCAATAGCAATGCTGACCATCGCCGCCTGAATGTCACTGCCTCTTGTTTGCACTGGTGACTCCGACGAGAGAGCTTGCTTGTTGTATTTCTTTTGGAGCTCGCTACAACTAGCTAGTTGTGAGAAAGATTGCTCGCGACAGATCTTCCAGAAGCCAATCGAAGGAACAAAATTTTTTGAGAGTGAAAAATGCAGGGAAAAGGGATGTTAAAACATACACTCCTGCTCTCGAAGAAAAGCACTGACCATTCAAAACACGTTAAAGAATGCCCCAAATTTGCGACCCAAGGTAACTACCTGGGAAATTCGTGCCAACCCGCTTCGGTGCGAAACCATAGCTCTATCCATCGAGTCGATAGCTATAGTCACCGCGACAACACCATCCTGGTACCACGCCACTACACTCGGCGTCTGTTGTAATACAAGAAGCAACACTACTAGCTAGAGTGACAGTCCAAAGCTATACAATCATATATGGCTAGACGTTAAGAATGTGGCCACCAAACACATGGATATACGACCATTGCAACATATACAAGCTGTTGCTTTATAGAGGACCTCTTCGAAGGGAAATCTTGGCCTCTTGTCGAGCCCTCTCTTGGTGAAGCTTTCCTTCCGCAATGTTGGCATCGACGAGGCAGGTAGCTTGTTGGATGGCAAGCTCCAGCAATTTGCCTTTGTCTTCGGTGTCTGACATTGGAACAATAACATCAATCTGCCTCAGCGCATGGGGGTGCTCCTCTTCCTCCGGACGCAGGAACCTCATTCTAATGATGCGACCAAAGGTTTCCTTTCCTTTGATTTTGTGGCTTCTGGTGTACCACTGAAAGCGGCTGGTCAAGCGAAGCTCCTGTGTTTCGACGGATCCTTTCACCTCTCCGTCGTCATCAGGCATTGACCCATCCGCCTTCCTTGATACTTGCACTCCGTGGATAAGGAAGCGGTAAGAGGCGGTGACTCCAAAACGATCAAATGTTGCCGAACCACGATAGTCGCGAATGGTGCCATCATAAGTTTCAAACCCAATGGCTACATGCCTTGATTCTTTCATGCTCTCAATATCGGTGATCGGATCTAGTGCAACAATCGTATTGTACGAGCGGCTAGGATCGACAACGGGGCTTGGTCCATGGTGACTCCGGTCCATCTTTGAAATAAATAGAGAGCTCAATTTGTGAGAAAAGTCCATCAGCAGCCATTGCTTCCTCGGCACCAAGCCTGGCTGCCAAGAACCTTCCGACAAGGCCAGGAGCGCGATGGATAAACACAGCATACCTTCAGCCCTCCGCGCCAAAGAAGATTCAAATTCTCAGATTTTTGGCCACCAACGGAGAAAGGAAAGTTTTGTGAGGAAGCATTGCCATCAACCACACACAAGCGAAGCGTTCAGCTGCAGTCGCATATCAACAAACCGCTCATTACACTGGAAACGAAAAACTCTGCCAAACAATGAATTTGCTCTGTAGTTTCACTCTACAGAAGGGGCAGAGTGAACTCCCAGAGTTTTGGCTAAGTAATGAGTTCGAACAGGCCGCAGAA